AACTGGAATTTTTGTTTCTGTTTTTATTGAGAAAGTCTAACATTTTCTTTCTGCGTACACAGCTGGTGAGACTAATAGCACCAGTCACTTATTTCATCAACGGCTGGTATCTGTCCATACCAACCTGTAATACAGTCATATTTGCTTCATCAAAGAGTTCTTAACAAAAGCCTGTGTTTTTAATGTTCTGGACATTAACAAGTACCAGAACTGGAAGTACTTGAGTAAACATGACTGTGGCAGACCTCATCCGAGCAGCGCCTATAGAAAATGTCAGACACCATTGCAAGATCTGAAACATTGTTACCCTCAAGGGGGAAAATATTGTCTCATCTCAAAGACAACTTAATAGTATTTCACACATAGATGCCAATCACAAAGCTACCCAGGTGGCTGTGCACCATTTCTAACTCACTCTGTATTCCTGTCAAAGAGCTCAGCATCTGCTACCCTGAGGAAATCTGTTACAAGGAGTGTACACAGGTGAGACTGCCTCTGCCTGAGTACATCTCTTATTTATTTAGAACACATTCTCTTGCACAGTAATCTGCAAAAGCATTTACTGGACAGCAGAGGTGTCCCACCCTGGACTTGAACCTGCAACCTTCCAGTCAAAAGGCCAGAGTCATTAGTGCTACTCTACACAACGGCACAGATTTTAATTTGGCAGAAGTGGGGGGGTCCTGTAGGCATCACATTAGACAATGTAAAAAATGTTCTTATACAAATAAAACATAAATAAAGATTTTGTTTGTGCCCAAGGAAAAAAATGTGTTACCACTTGAATTTGCTACTCATTAAGTTAGTCTGTCAAATCAAGATAGCTGTTTCTCATGGTACGCTTTCGTTCAATTACCATGACTGACAAATGTGTTAGCTGTATTTTGTCAGGTTTGTATCTGTGTGAATATTAGACACTGCCTGTTTTTTTGTGATATGGACTGGCAGACTTTGAAATAATTTAATTCAGTACTAAAAAGCTTTATAGCAAGTGATGCAATTGTCCTGGTTAAGACTTGTTCATCCATTACCTTTACATCAGAGAAACTGATAAAAACTTGTCATCAGAGTTTTTACTGTGTATTTCTTTTTACTCCACAGAATTCTCTATATGATAAGCTAGAATTCAATAAGTATTGCATTCTAGAGAAGTATGGTGAATAGATCCATAGTTCTTCTTCCCAGTGTATGGACAATACATGGGTCAATGTAAACCTCAAATGCCCTCACCACTGAGAAAGGACTAGAGCAGAACTTCTTGTAGAATCAGTACATCCAGTCCAGACCTAAGACCAGGAGCTCAGAGATTATTTATTGATTTGAGCTGTGTGGTTTTAAGAAGGACTCCGACATGTTGCTTCATTTTACTAACGGACATGGAATGGAAATTAGCTAAAATACTGCACCCAGCTTAATGTCACCTTTGAAATGTTTGTGCTTGTGGTTTTCAAACTTCGAAACGTCAAGCCCTGCATTCAGCAAAAGGCATTCTGAGAAAAGAGTTTTCAGACACTTAACCACATGAAGCATAATCACGCCAGCATAAAACAGCATTAGGGAAGCTGACAGACCCCTTTTTATAACACTTGGTGCTGCAGACGGCTCAAGCAACAAGCTGAAACGTCAACAAATTTTTACAGGTTGTGGCGGTTCAGACAAGAGACCTCGATTTATAGGTCACAGCAGGGTTGTAAGAAGCCCTTAGCTGTATAGGATGAAAAACATTCTTCAGAATTATGATACCATAAGCATCCATTGCAGAAAACTGTTGTCATTATATATAAGATTGCTGTGTGCCAGAAACTTGTATGTATTGTTACATTTAATTAGTACGGTGTCTTAGCAGCTGACCAGCAACCCAACAGATACAGTATGTACTATCTACTGTAACAAGGAGTTTAACTGCTGTGGTTTATCAACGGAATCAAGGGATTTCCAATGCACAGCAAACTTTGTTACCGTCGCTGTGTAATTATTTAATTCAGTAGATTCGCCATCAGATCAATAATCATTAAGAGTCTGAAGGGCCTGCAGTGAAGTACATTGGAACTATGAGGAGAGCTGCATTTTTATAGAAAAATAACCAAGACTTTAAGAATAGGATGGATGTAACTTTTATATCAAGTTAACTATGTAATTTTTCTCATTTTATTTTAATATTGTTCTTTCACTGTAATTTGTATTACATTCATATAGCACTACTTAATGTAATGAATAACCCATATATAATCCATACATATTATGTGTATAGAGTACTTAATTGCACTAAGCAGAAGGCTACCACAGGGGTTATAATAATCTGGAATATCGATCTTCTCACCCAACTGCCTTTACTATTCCTGAGCAAAGATTTCTACACTGTTTTTTTTCAGTCTGAGAATTATTACTTTCTCATTGTTGTTCACTAAAACAGCCTTGCAAAATATTAGCACAGCACATTCCTACCTAAACTTACATCTTTCTTACAGCTTTAGACAATAGTCTAAAGTCACTAGTCTCTTTTTAGCGGCTATTTTTTTGGAGTATGAATTATGTTGTCTAAGCATGCAGACCCCAGTGAACCACTGATTCCACTGATTTTCTCTGTCTACATAATTCAGTACTTATACAAAGTACTTGTAGAAGTTTGTGTCACTTATTTTTATCTCAGTAATATGTTTTACCATCTTACCAATATATGTTGACAATTATGTGTGATCTGTGTCATGTAATTTAAAGTAAAACTGATTATGTGTTTAAGGGAAGTGTTGCATTTCTAAGTCAGAAGTAATTTTATTTATATTGACTCTGGAGGCATAAGCATTATGTCTTGTTCAAATCTTTGCAAAGAGACTTTCTCAGTATTGGGTTATCAAAGTTAGAATAATTGTCAGTAAATGAATTAAATGACTTATCTGTCCTTGTTGTCTTCGTTATGTCGTCATTCAATGTGTGGTGCTGCATATTGTCCAGTAGGTGGCACCCCTTTTAAAATCAATGCCCCAGCATGGTGACAGGGGATTTTTTTAATTAATGCCCCAGCAGAGTAATAGGGGACACTGTACTGTAGGATGTGTCATCCCTTCCGAATAGACATGCTAACTTCTTGATCATCCAATATCTCGTGGCACTTTTCAAAAGGTTAGGGGTATTAACCCTGAGGTGAAGGCTACGTTCCGCTCTTGGCCTGCATAGTCTGGCTTAGTAGTGTGGACTTCAGTAGTAGATGAAGTGTCCCCTAGTTTTTGTAAAGAGCTTTATGATCCTTTGGAGTGAAAGGCTCTATGTAAATGCAATAAATTAAGAAATAATTATTACTACTTTCAAAATGAATCAATTCTCTAATCGCAGCTGGCTTTCGTCTTTTACCCATCTGTCTGCCTCTTGGTATTTTCAAACTTCCTCCTTTACAGTACTGCCCGTCTTTTCGGCTATTAGTAGCCCATTGGTCATACAGCATGGGACCTTGTTAATTTTTTTTGTAGTTAAAATCACCAGGGTGGGTAATAAAACCCCCACCCCACCCCCCACCCCAGGTGTTTCAAATGTCCAGGCTACAAAAACAGTGGTTTGCAGCAATATTATATACAGTTTCACAACAGAGCGCTTGTTTACATCCTCTTTCTGAAGAGAAAGCATTTACAGTAGTGGGTTCTGGCAGCTTTTCACACTTGTCCGGTACATGATCCAGCTTTCCCACATGAGCCAGCTGTGGCTGTTGGATGCCTAACAATTATTAGAAACGTCAGGCCTCTGAAATCTACAGATTAAAGAGCTATTACGTCTTCTTGTTTGACTACTTGGACAATAAAATGTAAATTCATACATTTCCCGGGATTTGTTGCCTCTTTGCCTCCTGCAGGTCAATAAATGCCTTGGCCTTATTGCCTTGTAAATTCATACATTTCCCGGGATTTGTTGCCTCTTTGCCTCCTGCAGGTCAATAAATGCCTTGGATTGCACAGAAGAGTCAAAATGCCTAGCGACGACTTTTGAGACCCAGGCTTAGTTGTAAGCATGAGGAGTCTGACTTTTGACACATCCCATAGCAACAGTGCGATTGACTTGGCCACGTGTGTGAAGCTCCACAGGACAAAAGCAGAGAGCACTGTGCTGCAAGGAGAGGGGGGAGACTTCCACAGCCATGGCAATATTTAAATCCAAACATTGAAACTTCTAAAAGCTTTCCCTGAGAGACTAAAATTAGATTCCCTCCCTCGTTTATCAGAACCCACGACATTTCTTTGTTGTTGTTGTAGTTCTGTAATGTGCAGTTTCTGTGCGCTGCCAGTTTTTAATTGCCGTGTGCTGTTAGGAGCAGGATGCAGATGCCCCAGACAAAGCAGCAATGACAGAGCCCTCTTTGAATTAGCACGCATTTCTTGTCAAGTGGAGGGGGCAGCTGCTCGGATTATTATTGTAATTACTCCATGATTGTATGTGACAAAGGGAACAGGAGCTGATTAAAGGGGACACAGAAAGGGGGCTGCTTGTACTGTGATACAGGACTGCTGGGTACAAATGGAGATCACACTAAGGTCAATGGTGCTTTGCCAGAGAAAGAGTAAAGGCTACACAGAGTCGTTATGTATGACCAGATTAATGTCCTTTTTCTAAATGTATTTTAAAAGAAATTTAATTCCAGCATATATTTCAACCTAGATGTATTTAAAATCCTTAAGCCTTCAGTTAATCATTCATGTACTTTTATACATCAAATTAACAATTTTTACGTTAATTACATATGTACTTGAAAGGTGCATGTTCCAAATATGGAGTGTTTCCTTTGTGTGTAAAGAATTCTCCTTTATTTACTTTGTATTAGGCACATCTCCAACCTTTGTGAATGTGCAACTACCTAAATGTATCTGCATTCATTATAAATATAGAATGAAACTATGAATAAGGCTAACTTCATGTCATCTCTAGAAGAAATGGTCTTTCATAACTGCCTTGTAATAAGGCATTATATAATTTTATTTTCAAAGGATTTTATTGGTGTGTTGTATCTGCCCCTGCAGTGAACAGAGTATCTGCCAGGCCAGGGCCTCCGTGATGGTCTACGATGATACCAGCAAGAAATGGGTGCCAATTAAGCCGGGCCAGCAGGGATTCAGCCGAATCAACATCTACCACAACACTGCCAACAACACTTTCCGCGTGGTGGGCGTGAAACTGCAGGACCAGCAGGTGAGAGAAGCACTGCAGCTGAGCACCATTTTATGAGCATGGGTACAACGGGGCACTCCTATTACAAACAGCACTAGGGCAGAAGTATTCAGCCTCTGGACCTCCAAATTCTTTTCACCTCAAAATGAGTTTAGCTCTTCAATTATTGTACCTACTGCCGCTGCTTTATTCTATTATGTAATTAAATACCAGATTTGGAACATACTATGTTTATTGTCTCTGTACTAAAGATTTGGATTGTGTCAATGCAGGGCAGGGTTATAAAGTAAATATATTTTGAATCAAGAGTTTTGGGAAGCATTATTCCACGATAATTCTGTCTGCTAAAGTCTGCATTTTCCTCTGTCCTGTTCCAGTGACGATACTACATTTCCAGGCAGGTAAGGGAAGACTGATTAGCTGGAGTCCTGTGTGTTGAGGCTCAGCTGTGGGTGATTCCTTTTCAAGGTATAAAAGAGGCTGTTAGGAAAATCTGAATCTCAGATGCTTTTGCTGGTCAAGGAACAATAGAGCACAAAGATAGGTTTGAGAGTTGAAAGGGAGCTAGGGACTCAGCTAGGGACTTAGTTGACATTAGTAGCAGCTTGTCCCATGTTGGAAGTGTAAATAGTAATAATTTAAGGAATACACATTTGTGAATAATTTAAATTATTCCTGAAGACAACTGAAAAATTCTAGCCAATTGTGACACCACCCAGAAATGTCACAGAATGGGGAATTAAAGGCAAATTATTATTTTTTAAATCCTTGTCTGGGGGAAAGACTAGGACTTGTGAAGGTCTGTGTAAAGACTTTTTTTTGGAGGGAGTGCATAATGAACTCTTCCTGGCTGCAGTGTGCTATGCTTGCAGTATACCAATTGAAATTACATTTTCTTCACACGGAATCACAGCCACTCATACAGAGGATGAAGCCACGCTTGGCTAACTGAATGAAGTTAGTGTGTCCGATACAAACTGGAGATCCTATATAGAGGAAGGAAAACTCAACCCTTAATACATTACATAGTTCAGGTAAAATTCTAACATATATGAAGTAGAACAATATAAAAATCCTATGGATAGTCTTTAAACTAGGATCATAGTCTTCAGTTTTTTTTACACCAGGCCTTTGATGTATGAATTCTTCTGGGAAGACTTTCTGCAACTGAACACAAGTCAGGTTTCTGGTGAACCTAGTACCCTAGCCAATTGCGATGCACATGGAAACCTTGGATTTTGACTACCAGCTGCCCTTTGCTTGCAGGTCGTTATAAATTATTCAATTGTTAAAGGACTGAAGTACAACCAGGCCACACCCACCTTCCACCAGTGGCGCGATGCCCGGCAGGTCTATGGGCTAAACTTCGCCAGCAAGGAGGAAGCCACCACCTTCTCCAACGCCATGCTCTTCGCCCTGAACGTGCTGTCACAGGATGCAGGTGAGGACCCTTATCAGTAGCTCTCTCTTCAGCTGCTTCTTCATTAAACAGAGTAACAGACCCAACCCCATTCTTGGCAAGGGAGATCGCATCTGTACACAAAACCGTTATAGTAAAGTCCAGCAGGCATTATGGTACTCAGCTATGTCAACCAAAACTATCTCAATCAACCTCTAATCCAGTCGTTTAAGCCTGCTTTCGATCCTTTCAACACATTTCCTACTGCTGCCATGCAAGTCCCTTATATACCAAAATTCTACTAATTTAACCCATGCGAGAATGTGCATTTCTTCCCTGTCACCAATACTATTATGAATTATTAAACTGGCACCCAGTGAACTTATTTGCAGATCTTTTGGTGCCTTTGGCTCCCTCTGTTGGCAGGTTGACGGTTATTGCAACTCCTTTTTAGGCAATTCTGTTGCACATTCTCCATCCATTGTTGACCTGCTTATATAAACACTTTAATTTAATTTTAAAATAGTTAGATGATTGCAAAAGCCAATAGCACATACGTTTTTTAAATTATTTTGTTAGTCTAAATATAGTGCTAATTTCTAAGGAATTTTTCACTAAATGTTTGTTTGTCCCTGTGGGAATGCCCTTCAATGGTTAAACAGAATTCTCCCAAAACAATCTCTAATGTGTGTCAGCAGGAATTTAAGACAATTATTTAACAATGGAAGAGCTTATTCAAAAAGAATGTCATGGGTTTTTCATCATTATCTTAAGTTGTCCAGTTAAGGGTTTCAAAAAGAACATATTGCAGATTTGAAACAATTGCATTATGTTATGATATTCTTGGATACAGTCACCCTTCTTTATTTTCAGTGCTGGAGTGTATTCACATTTTAAGCTACAATTCCCCCTATCGAAAATAAGCAGAAGTGTTTGAATACTATTTAAAAGTGATGTTTAGAGTGGGACCCTATAGGTTGACATTATCTTCAGTAGTTCAGGTGGGTAGCTGCATCAGCATGTGTAGGCTGCAAAGGAACAAGTAATAGGTTTATTCCATGCTGAAAAGAGAAGAAAGCACAACGTTTCGGCTATGGTGCCTTCTTCGGGTGACATTATCTTCAGTAGTCATGGCCTGTGCTTGAAATCCTCCCTCAGAGGAAAGTTAAAAGTTGGATTTAAGAATCAGCAATTCAAGAAGCTTGAGACAAAGGTATCTGGGTTTTATAAAAATTTCAGGAAACAAAAAGTGAAAAATTGAACTAATTGATATGTTCACATTTAAAAATATGGTATTTATTGAATAATACAAAAGTTAACAGTTTCTCACTGTGCTGAGAAGATATTTCTTGATTCAGTCTGTTGGATGCCATTTCCACACGTGTATATACAAAGGTTCAATTGGTCTATAGATGATAACTGAAAAGCAATCAATCTGCACATCACATTGCAGTAAGGCTCTCCCTGACTAAGCTCACACAGACCGTCTTAATAGCCGATCTGAAAAAAGATCTTCAGTTATAACTTAATAATAGCAGACTGTGTGTTTCTGTTATTGGGAATTTTAATTAATGTGTGACATTGAAGAACACTCCCTTGGGCACTGTGTTCAAACTTTAAACAAATCCATCTTTGCTTGACAATTATGAAAGGGAGATGGAACAAAAACAGCTTCTGTCTACTTAGGTGAAAGTAGTAGAACAGTAATGGAAATCTGCCTCTGCTTCTCATCAAGCTCTTTAATGAAAATTCTGCTTCAGCTCTTTTCATCTTAGCACTGTGTATCTGGAAAAGATCAAACGAGCAGTCATCCATTTCATTTAAAAGGGTGAAGATTTGCATCTTCCTGTTCTGTGCATAACGTTTCTTTAAACATCTACCGGAATTGATGCAGTGAGTAAGTACAACAGTTTTTGGAACTTGTCTGGAACTGCAACCTGCTGTTTAAGAGCCAGTCTGCTCACCACAATCACAAAGCACAATCACCACACACTACCTTCATATTCTCCATCACTCATTTTCCTCTTGTCATGCGTTCAAAAAATATTGTCCAGAGATTCTGCATTCTTTATGTGACACTTTGTCCCACCAGCTACTAAAGCATGCCCTGCTATGCAGCTTTGAATTGTTTGGCCATAAGCTAATTTCACAGGAGCTGGCAAAATGAAGTCATACTTAAAAAAAAATAAACAAGATGTTTTCTCTCACCTTCCATGAGTTGTTTCGCTGAATCGAATATTACAGAGGATGAAAAACTGTAGATGGATAGGTATAAAGAGTACCACAGTGCAGAAAGCCGACACCACTTACATACAGACCTGGGGCTGCCCAGAGCAACCTGTTAAATCCCCAGTCCAAACTGACCATGTGATCCGGTTTCTGTGCTGTCCAGCTATACTCTAATGTGACAAGTGACACATGGCCCTCTTCTCCGGTTTCAGTCCCTCACTGCAGCTTGCCCTGGTGCTTATTTGGTCCGGGGAGGGGGGAAGGGAGCCAGTGTCAATAGGCCCAGTCTCTACCGCTCTCATTGGTCAAGTCCTCAGGCTAAAATATCCATGGAGTCTTGCAGCCTTGGCTGCTGTTCCAGGCTGGGCTTTTCCTTTTCTTTTTTTAAAATGTGGGGATGGCTAAAGCAGGTTGGGCTGCGTGGGGCACCACACACTGCGAGCCGTGTCTCCCGCTGCCTTAGCCACATGTTCCCCTTCTCTCTCGCCTGATGCACGCGTCAGCTCTAGACCCCAGTGAGTCCTCCTCACTCACCAATGCTGGAAAGACAGGCAACAATCACGTGTCGCCATCCCCTGCCAGGCTCTGGCTTGAAGGAGCAGCTTCATTTACCGTGTCATAATAAATTCCGCTTTTACAAGACACAAACCTAAGATGCCTGGCCAGCAGTTTCCACCAGTGCAGTCCAGAAGACTCAGTTCGGCTGTTATCAAAATCATTAGTAAGTACTGCAAACAAATGTACAAGAATGTTCATGCAATAAGAGGACAGCAATTCTTTTACCAAGCAATAAAGCCTGTACTTGGTCTATTGCATGGTGAAAGCACTGCTTGTGTGTCTTTTTGTTTTCCTCATTAATTCAAACCGGAGAGCATAATATTGGAATTTGATTTGCCTTTTGGCAGTGAGAGGGAAGCATTTGGTTTTTCAAATTGTTTTCTAAGCACATTTCATAAAAGGCTAAACACGCATGAGGTTGCATAAGGTATTGCTGTGCAAACTCTCCTGTTACTCGGGAGTCTAAAGATTCAGTCTTTAAAGTTGCTTCATGAACCAGGTGTTTTTCTGCATTTTTTTTACATGCTTATAAATGTAACTAGAGATATTTGAGCAGAATCAAAGAGAGGAAGTCCCTTTGCCATGCGTCTTGATGCTGGGGCAGTCAGGACCAATCTCCCAGGAGGGTGCAGAATGACCTCCCCTCAGCCAGGATGAAATCATGAAACTTCCTGGCAGACCTAATTCCTTTATGACCAATTCACCATGGAAACAACTCCTTACAACTGGTCAGCCAATCTGGGACTACTGTCTTCTTCTCACTAGCTTACTTGCCCCTAGTGAGGAAGTGACATGATTTCCTCTTGTGTCCAGAAAACATTTCAACTTACTTGATTTGAATTTTCAAATCCAAATTTTACTGTTCTTCACTTACATAGCTGAAATGATGATAACTTTTCACCGCTTTCAGTTTTTCTATTTGGTTCTTGAAACTTCTCAATTCTACTTCACCACATAATCAATATGTATAATATTTTAAAAACTACATTTTTTCTTAACTGCCCTGAAAGTGTCTAGTTTCTGTTATAGTAGCACCCGTTAAGTATTCATTTTCTTAGCATAAACAAAAACACGTTTCCATCTTTTTAAGTCTCATTATACATCTGTCTGGCATCTCTGTGACACCTGTGCTGCATTAAGGATAGAAGATCCATCTAATATTGCAGTGTGCTTGTTTTTCTGTACAAAACTGAGACATTGCTTGTGGCAGATAAAAAGATAAGAGAAATGTTCAAAGTTTTTTTTTTGTATTGCAAACTGGTTGTTTTCTGAAAATTGGTACACAGGATAATTCTGTGAACTAAATTATATTCAGTAACTGTAAGGAACCACAGACCACACTGTACAAACTAAGACAGGGCCCTTTTAACAACTTAATAATGCAGAGAATTCACATACACAATTCAGACACATACACAATTAAGTTGTTTCCCTTCTTTGTTTATGAGGATTTCAGCTTCATTGTAAAATGCACACTGAGGGAATGTCTGGCTTCTTCGTGGGCAAAGATAGTGATGAGCATAGGTGATGGATGGATTTCAGTTCAGATCTTCTCTGCTTGTTAGGATAAAGATGAAGTTGCTCCCCAACCTTCCTCTCTTTCTTACTCTCTTCTCTGTCTATGTTGCATCCCTCTCAGGGCACTGCACTTACCACATATTGCTGTGGAACAGGCTGTTACACTGACAGCCTGTAAGAAGTGTGTGGAAGGTACAAATTGGTGTGTGCCTTCCTTCTTGAGAGAGATCGCGTGGAGATCAAAGTGCATTAATGGCTCGATAAGAACTTCAGATTCTTCTTGTTTTAGCTCACTTACAGTGATTGTATAAAGTCTTAGTCTTCTCTGGATAAACTGTAATCAGACAAGCTCTTTAAAGAAGAGAACTTATGCCAGTGAATTGTTCTTAAGTAGCTTCACTTTTGTTTTGAAGGTGATGGTGACAACAAATTTGTGTGATGGCCCAAGCTGTACAGAGTGTACATTCAAAAAGGACGAGTTTACAGGCCTAGTTTTTTGTTCAGTAGTGTTGGCAGTGCTCTGGCTTCAGATTGTGGGTGGCTCCAAAAGTCTAGCTTTAAATCCTGGCTGACCACAGTGCTCATGGCAGGAGGCTGCTTCGGCTCCATTGCTGCTTAGAGAGCTGCATTCTTACTAGTGCTCCATCTCTGAACCACAAAAGCCTGTGTTTAATAAGTTATACATTCCTTTTGTGTTTTGGATTTTGTTTTGCACAGTGCTTCTCTGTCATAGAGAA